TACTATAGCGGAGAACCTCGAGGTTATGTTTCACGATTGGCTAAGGTTTTGAGAAAGGCTACAAAAGACAATTTATTTTTTATTCGGGTGTGGGTTGGAGTTTTTGGTACTTTGAAATGGGATACTACTGGGATATCTGTTAGGTTTTGATGCAAATTATGTGATGTATGGGCTATTTGGTTTATTATTGTATTGATATTTTATTGACGTTGCGTAAGTGGCATTTCCAAAAACGCGCTTATACAACGGCGCAAAACAGCTTCCCCGAAGTTTATCGGGTCAGCGTACGAGCAAAGGATCCGGCCAATGGGGAACGAGCGGCCAGTGAGCGGTGCGGCAGCCGAGCAGCCAGGCTATGCGGGGGCCACATATAAAGACGGGCACCGCCACCGGAGCAGCAGACAGTGTGTTCAAGAAGGTCGTGGTGTATTCGAGAGTTATTGAAGAATGAATGCTTGTTTCAACCTGGCATGTGAAGTTGGATACTATATTGGATTAACTGTTGACTCAGATATTATTGGTACATCTCTTGGTATAACGTTACTTTGGCTTCGTTCCTGGACATTCTTCTGGTTCAAAGGGGATATCACTATTTGCAAGAAATCTGTCTATGAGTTGAATAAAACTTGTATTTAGGAAAAACACAAAATAACAATAACAACACTTACTGGCTTAGATTTTAATAAAATAAGTTTGAATTAGTCCTGGTTCTTTTGGAAAACGCGGGCGCAGTATTTTTAAGTTACTGAATGAGTTATACTGTGAAGGTAACTTTTTCTTTTACTCAATATGTATTAAATTTCTTAAGAATTCAGATGCTATTAAATGTAACATACCTCCCCTGGCATTCTGAGGAGTAAATGATAAAAAAAAAACTGATACAAAATTCACCTTAACCGGAAATACTGGCTCTCGGTCTGGAGTTATGCTGCACAAATTATGATATTGTCAGCACTTTTTTCTTGGAATACGGGAGGAAAACACCCTAAATTACAATTTTAAATTACGAAAAAACACCGAATAAAGATAATTTACTTTCGATACAAACAATATGAACTAATATTCCACGGAGAAAGAAAGAAAGACAAAATACGGGAGCCGAAGTCAGAACCTATATTAGGTATTGCCAACTTATGAAAGCGAAAACTCATGCGAGAGACTAAATGTAATAACATTGTTGTTGTTCTTTTTTTTGTTTTGTTTTTTTTGAACGACTATTCAATATTACTCTTTTAATGTTTTACAGCAATCTTTTTTAACAATTTACAGGTATTCAAAATGTATGCTGAATCGGACTAAGTGCGACGACGAATCAAACAAACTTTTAAAAAGACGAACAGCTAAACCATTAAAACTTAAATTCATGCATTAAAAAAACTTTAAATGTACGCGGCCGACGTATCTAGAGTCTGGTCAAAGTAATTGTTCCCGTATCTTAAGCAAAGAGCCCGCGCTTCTGACCGGGGGCGCTGCCGAGGCCAGGTGGCGGGCGGGCCCTTTTATCGGTGGCGTGATAACGTCGCGGGAGCAGACGCGCCCCGAAACGTCACCCGACGATCAAACAATTACGTCCCGCCGCAGGAGACAACGACGCGGCTGAAAGGCCTCCGCGAAGGACGGGAGCGGGAAGTTCGAGAGAGCACGCGAGTGAAGCACACGACACGATGTGTATTCACGTCAGGATCAAAACGAGCCGCACTTTCTCTACGTCTAGCTATCGTATAGTATGGGTGGAGAAATTTAAATGATGTATTTGCACACTAAGTTTTAGTTCATGAATCAAGTTTATGATTTCTATCCTCGAGCAACCTTGTTAAGTTAAATGTGTACAATGTAATCTTCATACAGATGCAAACAGTTCACACGAACAATAACAATGTTTAGAAAGGAATTTTTGGAAATTACGAAGCTTGCATTTTTTGAAGTCTGTAATGTATAATTTTGATTTCCCCCAACCGTTTTCCTGCGGTCCACTCCTCTGACACATTAATTCCATTTTATTTTTTTCAACTCTTACTATAAAACAAAGGTATTTAAACTTTTTCACATATGTAATTTCTACATGTACCTTCATGCAAAATTTACACCCCAAGTAATAGGTCATTAAATCCGTTAATATCATTTTTTAAAAATTCAATTGAAACAGTGAGTAAGTCCGTACACCACTTGTTACCATCTCGATTAACTGATTGTTAATGATTTCGGACGCGTCAACTGCTGATGTCATTAGTACTGTAAGTGAAGTGCATGTCTTTTCTCGGGAGGTGACGGTGATCTCCCCCCACGGGATGGCGTGATCCGGCGCCGACCTACCGTCAGCTAGCGGGGTTTTCCCCAACCACGTATCTCCCACCAGCGGGACGCCACCCCCAAGCGGCACAAGCTCTAAACTTCCGACCGGTCTCCCGACATGTGTAATAGTGTAATGCATGCGAACATCAATGTGTGTAAGAAAAGGGAGAGGAAGAGGAAAGGACAAGGAAGAAGAGGGAAAGGTGGCGCACAGTCCGCGGTCCTTTTGTTAGGGCTCCGGTATTCGCCTGGTGTTGATTGGAGAAATAGCGGACAACTACCTCACAAGTCAGCCGACTGCTAGAATTCTCCGGCTGAATCCGACCCAGTCTATCCAGATAGAGTCAAAAATCCACTGTCTGTACTCAAAACTTTAGATCTCCCAGTCAGAGGCACTACAGTGTACTATCTCGAACACACAGAGAACATTAAGAAAATCTTCAGAAAACGTATGTCGAAAGTTTCTCGGCAGTACGGAGTTCATGATAACGGAGGTTTTTTTTAAAATTTCTGTCCATCTGTTAAAAACGTTACCGTTTCAACTGTTAACAATTTTTTTCACTAAACAGCATATACCCCGAACGACCTTATTGATATCACCGCCATCTGAATGACATGCGTGTATTTTATTTTCAGGGAGTACTTTACATGAAGCCCAAACCGGCTTATGTGGCTCAGCGCATCAATTGTACGTCAATATAGTACCTCTAAACGAGCGTGTAGTACTTCTAACCGGTCAATTATAATTTGCATTAATTTCAACCAGAAATTTCGTGAAAACTGCCATTTTATGTAAAAAATGTACATGACCCTTTTTAAAGAGATGATTTGTTAGAACAGACTACGTTCACGCCAAAATCTCTATATTCAAATATGTAGTTTTGAAATGTTAACTTCTTTCGGTTTTCGAAAATACTGAGATCTAGCCGAATATGGGATATTTTTTACCGCCCATTAATACGAGTAAACGATTACCATAAGAGGATAAAATTTAAAGAAAATATTTGGAGTGGTTTTTGAGATGTTCCTAGAAATTGCATAAATTTGAATCACAAATTATGCAAAAACTACTTGATTTAAAAAATGCTCATGCTATTTTAAAGACCTTACTTTTTAAAAACAGATTTTCTTTGCAGCAAAATCTCTACCGTCAATTCTGAAGTTGCAGGAAAACGTTGAAAAGTATTGCAGAAATTGGGCAAATTTCGAAAAATCAGGGGTTTCTCGGAAAACGTGTCTTTCACCATTCTCCAAATGACGCTCAGACCGACGTTTTGCCGGCAGTCGATTTTTCACTATCAGGGACCCACAAAACGGATTCTTTACTCTATTTAGGAAAACGATTTATGTAGATGCACGTATAGAAACGCGTTACCAAGGCCCGACAGTAAGTTTCTCTCTGCAAAATTCTTCGTTTTCCAGCGCACGATTACAATTGTCTCTCTTCGCACAAAATAAGGGCGAGAAAGTGTTTAATTTTAAAATATCACATAGGTTAAGCGAGACTTACTCTATTACGTTGTTTTGTGCCACACCCCTCAACGTATAAGCTTGGATGCGATCACAGCAGACGTGATAAGTGGTGTGGAACAATTAGCATAATCGGAAGAAATATTACCTATATTTTTTTATTTCATTTTGTCTGGAATGTCACACTCTTTCCGAGGGTAATATTTTCATGATTACACGTAGTCAACATGGGATTTAATAATCGGTAAATTACTGAAGGTCTATCCACGTATGCTACCCTTTTCAAAGTAAATTATGCCACATCTCTGATGCGCAATTGTAAATCGGAGACGGACAGTTTAAAAATAGCGATCTTTTGGCGGATATTAGACTGTTTGCGAGACAGGATTTATGGCGCCGGGTATTAACGAAAAGGGAAGTCGCATTAACAATTTAATTGTGAATATATATAATATATATATATATATATATATATCAACATCAACATCAACATCTAGGTCATTAGCGACCACTATTGCATTTAACGGCATGATAGCTGTGAAGATGACATGATACAGTGATGATGGGGAGGGGGAAAGGACGAACATTAATACAACCATGCCCGTAATATATATATTACAGAAAAGATAATTAACCGTGTTGCTAAATGTGATCTATACGTATTAGTGCTATCCATTCCACAATATTTTAGGTAAAGTTAGCTAATTATAAAAATATTTTAAGTTTCAGATAATTATTATCTAATGAATGCGATAAAAATTAAAGAAACCTGTAAACATTATTACTCTATACATAGCCATGGCTATGGATAATGCTGAATATTGAAGCAAAAGAGATTATAGATTAGTACATGTGTTTCAAGCAGCTTAATAAAGAGATTCACGCAGAATAGATGATATAACAAAGGTTCATAATTTTCTAATTGTACTAGAAATTATGTACAATTTTGTAGCAAGACTAGTTTACATTACTTCGTATCTGTACGCAAAGTTTATCGAAGTATAAGTATTAATTTACAACCAACCGAAATTGAAGTGCATACAGTGCAGATGAATATTTGCGGATGACAATCACTCACAAATTGAAACACAAAAATGTTCGAAAAAATTAAATACAAATTTTATTGTTCTTTCAAATTCAGAGATTTTTTAAGACAAATTGTTGCACTATAATCTAACAAACGTTGCAAAAATGCATAATATATTTATCTAATAAATGTCATTAATCTTTCAATTATGTTAAAGAGCTACGTGCAGTGTGCCAGCATCCAAATTCATTGACACGCACAAACCTACCAAAGCTAAACATGTCTTCATTTAGCAGCGCAAGTCAGTGAGAGTGTACTTCCTTACGATCAACAGACCCAGAGGACAATGCAGAGAGCGGCGTCCAGCAACGAGAGCGACCCCGAAGCAGGGCCAGAAGCTCGTTTGTCCCCGCGTCTCCGGGGGCGTTCCGTGCACAGCGTCCCCGGTGTTTCGAAAGCTCTCGGCCGCTGTTTATTCGCCAGCGCTTATCGCTCGCCCGCTCGCCCCTTGCGCGCGCGCGACGCGCGACACGCTGTTCGGTCGCGGGGCAGTCACGTGGCCACCTCAACTCTCCACACGCGACGAACGGCGAGAAAAGTACATAGGCGCGATAACGGATCCCTGAAAAAAGCCGCGCAGAGGGTTTGTTCGATAGATGCATCGCTCATGCTGCTCGTGGCAGTGGAACGTTAGTCCTAGTCGCTGATGGCTTGAGCGGAAGGGTCATTTTTTAAGTAGAGAAATCCTGATTTTTCTCCATTTGAGAATGCTTTGTTGTGACAGTTTGCTTTCCCGTAGCAAGGTGACATGGTAGAGTCATAATGGTGGCGTGGATCAAATAACCACGTTTGTATATTGTTTGTTCACATGGTAAGTGAGATGTTTCTTTCATTGCATTAAAATGCAAGATTCCGTATATCTCGTAATTCAAGAGCGCGAAGTATCCAGAGAACAAAACCACAATGTGTCCTACTATAATATACATGAACTGAATGGAAAGAATAACTTGTTATTTTCATGTATGAAAAGTAACGATAAGAGATTTACACAGTTGATTGTCGATCAAATGGAACACCACAAGAGAAAGAGATTTGTTCAAAAATTAGACCATAAGTACGGACGTTGGTAATACAGAAACAATACGTAATCAAGAAAAAATAGCAAGTGTTTTGACAACGGGCATGAAAGGTAAAGATTACGAAGAATGTCTTGAAAACAAATCTTCCACAGATTCAAATATTTTAAACAGACGGATAAATAATAGTTCGTTGAATGGAACAGCGCGAACTACCTTATTTGTACATCCGAAATTTAATGTTCTGATCAATGTGAATAATACAATACATACTCAGAAAGGTTAGCAAATTCTCACTCAGAATAAAAGAGTGCTAGTAAAGTTGAATTTCTTAATTGCTGTGAAATGTAAATCGTTTCAAATTCATAATCTCTTAGGAAGATTAAATCTTCCAATAGATAATAGTATTTCAAATGTTTTGGTCATTCATTTTAGCTTGTCACAATTTTTTATCATTGAAAAACACTGTTTTTTTACTTTTTTATATTAGTACAAAAGTAATTTTGTAGCTTTTCTTTTTGTAACAATATTTTTGGTTCATTTTATTAATCAAATTAATGAACATGTTGGTATTTTTATTTAAGGTCACATCAACATCTAGGAAATTAGCGACCACTATTGCATTTAATGGTGATGATAGGGTGTTAAAGGACGAACACAAATATAACCATGCCCGAAGCGGCACTCGAAAGCGCGATCCTTCGGCCCTAGATTGCGACGGCTTTACTACCTTAACGATCTCAGCCATCCGGACCGGCATGTTGGCCTTTTCATTTTGAAAATCAGGAGTTTTTTCAAAATAATAAATTCGATTTTGTTTTCCCTCTTTTCACACATTTATTTTTAGATTGTACTGTATTATTTATATTTGTAATTTTTTTTAAAGGTGGGCAAGTCTAAAAACCAAAAACAACATTTAATAGCTGAGCGAGATGAAACAGCAGACACGAGCCAGCAGGGGTAACGGGTAGGTTGCAGCAGCAGGGATGGGGCTGGGGAGGCAGGCAGCGGCGAGGTAGCCAACACGGGCACGGCAGCGGAGACCGGATACGGCGCATTAATTAACCAAAACCAACGCCGCAATTCCATCCGGATAGTTTCCGGATCTTGCTGACGAGTGCGGCGGCGGCGGCGGCCGTACCCGCGGACCAGCTACGGCAAGCGGTAATTTCGGTCGGATCCGCCTATTTCCAAACTTAAATCTGTAGTGGCAACGAGTGAATGAGACCGTCCGGATGCAGGTCGCATAAATCATTCAGGGCGCCGTCATGACGTAGAGAACTGGGCGGCCGCTGTTGGAGGGCCTGGGCTACAGCGACTCGCTTCTGTTAACCTGCGTTAGTCTGCGTCTGTGGTTCCAAGAATCCGTCAGAGAGTATAGAAATATATTTGTGTACACATTGCCACTAGTGTGATTAAAGAGTCATATATAAAGAATTTATAAGAAATTTATACAGAATTTGAGTTGTGATTCATGTTAAATATTGATTGGATTGATATTTGGATTCGATGATTTACAAAATGCATTATCTTTCCAATAACATATGAAAACGATTAGTCCAGTCTTGTTTAAAAATGTGAAACGTAAATTTTTGTAGAACACTTGAAATCACAATTCTGAGAATTACGATTAAGATAAGTTATCACGATTAAGTTACGGAAAGTTAGTGCAACCATCAATACCTACCTTCATATTTCCATGTATGATTTGAAGATGATTCGACATTATTTTGTAAAATACCGAAAATATAAAATAAAATACAACTGAAGCCAAAATAAACTGCCCCATACTACAGAGATATGATGTGATAAAATGATGACTTTTTGTATTTAGATGCTGTATGTGTTTGGGAATAGTGTTTTAGTCAACTGATTTTTTTTAAAAAATTAGTACTTGATTTTAAAATAATTAAGGAAAGTATTCCGTTCTTGTTTGTTTTTTGCAGAATTAACATTTGAAATCTTTATTTTTGGCCAAAAAATGTTTTTGACAATAAAATAAAAAATCGTCAATTAAATGTGACATTCAGAGGGAAATACACAAATGACCAAAATAATATTATTCAGTTCCAAAATTCAGTTGGCTTTGTTGAAATGTTGAAAATATCTAATTTTCATCACGTCCATCACTATTGTCAACTTCTGTTTCAATATTATGTTCATTGTCAGTACGAATTCCGGAAGGCGGAGTTATACCCTTCAGCAAATCCTCATAAAACTTTCGATAACTTGGTTGTGTAAGGTACATTATGGTCTTTAATTGTAGCTGGCTTAAGTCGGGAACCCTGTCATAGATCTGTTTATGGTTGAGAAAATTGTTGTTTGCGTTAGTTTCCCCCCGTTTGAGGTAGATAAAATGATTGTTCCATGGGTCTTAGTAAAAATTTCTCAACCTAACACACATTTCTTTTTCATCGATCTGAATCATTCTTACTTGTTGCTATTAAAGTATGGGCTTGATGCCTGAAGAGACTAGGAATCATTATCTCCTTTCTTATCTTTAAAATGAATAGAATACATGATCTTGAGATAGAAAGACTCGGGACGTTTCCACCAAGGACTTGTCTTGTACTTGTTTTGTTCTTGGTGTACATTTGATGGACTAGATTGACTTTTGAAGAAAAACCTATTCTTCTCTGCCTAAAATCTTTCAATGTTTATGGCACTTGCCGGAAGAAAATCGTCCACCAGATAGGGAACAACATGGTAAAATATCACAAATTTGGAATTTTGGAGTTGTTTGATTCTAGTAAGGAACCCTTCAATTTAGAATGGGGAAGAAAAATCTCCAGACTAATTGGATAACTATCGAAAAATAATTAATCAATTAGTTACTGTACAACACGGTAGAACATTCATACTCTTCAGAAATTAGGCTATTGGAAATACAATATTTAATCCAAACCTAGAAGAAACTTGTGGACAACCAAAGAAACCACATGGCTACACATTTACACCGTGTGATTAATCTGATGTGAATGGTCAGCAATATCCTTCTTTTTCTTCATCAGTGCGACCAGAATAGGCATAAAATGGGGAAAGATATTGACAATAAATGGGACATATAACAGTATACTTTCTCAGTCGTATATGAATCATACTCCTTATTAAGATGTCAGCGTGCCACTGGAAAAATTACGAAAGATAATGCTACTCAATCGCATTGTAAGTGCAAATTTTTGCAGATTCTTCAGAAAGCATTACATTCATGGCTGACCTACTCTTTAAAAACGAATAATCTTTTGTAAGCAAAGCAAAAAATTAACTCAACTATTTGGGAATGCGTTCTCAAAATTTGCGTTTGATATTTGGCATCGAATATTGCTTGTTTTTCCGAAAGTCAATTTGAGTTAGATTTTGATTCACGAGTCAGTAACAATACAGTGCGAAAACATACTATTCAAAAAGGTATCAATGCAGACTTTTTGCACATTTTTTTGTTTCGCTAAATAGAACAACTCACTGCGAGTCAACTTTTCGAAACTGTATTTGTTTGCAATAACAATTTGCAAGGCATCAGTGTTGGGACTTCCAAAATCATATAGGCTACTTTGATATAGCAATATTAGTAAATTACGGAACTAGTTTATTATGATAAGCTTTATTGCATTAGAAGACGCTCCTTCCGTCGCTCTTTTTAAACATTTGTATGAACAACAATAAAAAGCAACAATGAAAAAGTTGCATACGTTGTTTTTGTGTAACATTTTGTCACGTCGTGGGTACTTGACATCTGTGCGAAAAAACGTTCCTCGGCCATTCGGTTTAACGTTACCCCCTCAAGATTCTCCCGCTGCGATTGGCTGAATGTGTGATGACGCAGGACAAGTAAAAAAAGGCGCCCGCTTTCTGCGCGCCGCTGCCTCGAAGCGGCCTCGTTGGTCCCGGGCTCAAGCGGTACCTTGCAGAATCTAGCGTTTTTTTGGATGCGGGCCGCTTATGTCGGCGGTATCGCTCAGCTATCGAGTACACCTCGGCAGAAGCAAAAGGTATGCGCAGGTCTAGCGGATCGTCAAAACGCGGGTGGGTGGTTTTAACTGCTTCTCACTGCATTTAATGTTGGTATGTCACTGCACCATTTTCAGGAGGCAAATACTTGTCAATATATCAGCGTCAACCGATGTAGCATCACAATAGGAACCAAGTTTTCTCACATGAATAAGAATTTCGAACAGGTCTCTTTTACCA